TTTGCTTGACATTACTTTCATCCCAGGCGCCTTTATTTTTTAAAGAATCTGTTATTGACAGCTGTTTTTTACACTCTTGTAATGGTGTCAGCTGTTTCGTGGTATGTGGTATTTGTTGGATATCTTTTTCTAGTAACAAAAGTTCTTCGTACTTATCACCGTGTTTTGATTTAAGATGAAGTTTAAGCGAAGTAGTGCCACCTCCTTTTCGTGAAAAGGTTTTATCACACTGTTTACATTTTGCGGAATCTGCATTAACTTGATTAAAAAATCTCCAAATTAAACTAGACTTAGGTCGCATTTGGTCCAGATTAGGTAAACAATTTAATAACACAACACTTTTCTTTCACTTCGTCGAACTAAACTAATTACTCGTACCTAAATATAAAACTGACTGACGGGACTTATGTATGACTGCAACATAAATAATAAACAAACAATGCAAGAGTAAGAGACACGCGCCGCTAATGTAAAAAAGAAACCTGTTATAACAAGTCTCATTTAGACTCAGCCCCTACCCTTATCCGAAATTATCCGAAACTTTTATATCGGATTCGGTTACGGTTACGAATAGTTTTTTATTTCGGATATCCGATAGTTTCGGTTACGGTTACGGAGCTCCATAACATCCCTGATCTATACCACTCACAATACGAAACACAGTATTCTGTGAGAGTGGTCCTACCCCAGTCGAGCCTACCCATTCGTGCGGCATCAATAATAAAAAGATCAACATCTTTCAGGAAATATATGAATCTGTAGTCCCCCCAAGCTCAGTTTAGCATCCTTGCTCTTATGTAATGACCTCAAACTGTGGGTAAGGAGTAAGGAACAGTAAACACCGTCAGAGTCTTTTACTTACTTCTTTCTGGTTTGGTCTTTTCATGAGTTACCAAGTTATATTGCTAAGACATTTTTGGCGCAAAAATTGTCACTAGAAGATTTGCTAAGAAATAGAAGAGTAGAAGAAGTGAAACACAAGTTCGCGCGGGCAGTCGCGTTTCGCGAATGGCGCAAATTTTTCGCTACTCTGAAACTATGTACATCTTGAGATCCGCATGAACAGTCGGCGCGGACCACCCGCGTAACTATAAAAACATTTTTCATACGCTTTTCACCACAAAATTTGTGACACCACATTGAAGCATACGCACCGAATAAGAGTGCGCAGGTACCTGCCGACGGCCACACCGTTGTCAAGTTTTTCACGTTTAATATTTACCATTTTATCATTTATGAGGTATTTTCAAATGGTAAATAGTTTTTTTTTTTTTTATTAGAATAAGGTTGACAAACGAGCATACTCCACTTGATTATACCTAAGTGAACTGTGGCCCATAGACATGTACATTTATCCTCTTAAGAAACAAAACCCCTGATTGCTAAGATGGAATGCTTCATTTCCAATAGTGTATCCGGTTCTTTACACAAATAACTCTACTCTCTCTATTACGTAAATAAATAATTTAACGCTGGTATTCTGTGAGAGCGTGGTCCTACCCCGGTCGAGCCGATCCATTCGTGCTACAACCATAATATAGCTGAACCTTGACCAGAGTATAGTAACTGTCCTAACATTCTCTCTACCACGTAAAAATCGTACGGATATTTCACCACTGTGTTACTTTGTTATTAAACAACCACGGTTTTTTCGGATACAAGTTAATAGTTTGGCTCATCAGGTGGATATTTGTCAAATTGTGACGCTTGGCATATTAGTTAACAAACGCAGTGTTTTATGTCATTTATTATTAGAAAGACGCTGCTGCCCATCTCCTGGTTTGTTTTCCTCTGTCGCCACTTACGACACCCACAGGCCGGAGGAAGTAGATATTCTTACACCGTTATTTCACGCTCGATACAGCAATGCTGGTAAGCAAAGCAAATTTTGGCAGTCATGCTACAGCTATTTTATTAGTATGGTTGTAGCACGAATGGGTCCGTCCTACCGGGGAAGGACGAAGCTGTCACAGAATACCAGCTTAAAATAGCATCACAATGCTGCTGTGTCATATGGTGAGTGTAGGGAATCGGAGACCCATCCTACTTACTGGAAACAAGGCATTCCATCTTAGTCGTCATGGGTAACAACGCATCTGCATTTTGATTCATAGTTGAGGATAGATGTAAATGTCTATGGGCCACAGCAACCACTTATCATCAGGTGGACTGTGTGCCCGTTTTCACCCCTTATCTTATTAAAAAAATGACATTCTTGACATAATTCCAAATGATAAATGAAGTTAACAGACATACGACTGGTAATCTGTAGTTTCACTTTACCTTCCAAATGTGACGAATAAGCAAATATTCTCCCTAATACAAAGCCGTGTAAAATGTACATTCGATTGTCGCAATTCCACCTTTGATTGTATTTTTACCCGTATGGATTGTATTTTTCGGAAAACCTCGTATTGTCCGCGCCGTCATTGTTTGCTGAATGGCGCGTTAGGCAGATAACTACAAAGTACCGTGTAAGGTACATCATAAAGTTAGATGTGTTTTAATTTCACAAGGTAAGTATTATATACTATATATATAGGAGCTGACGCGTTGTTGATGATAATCTGCATATCAAGGACCAATATTTAAATAAAACAAGATAGGTATGTAGTAAGACTGCTTGTTTATCAATGTTTGTTGCTATACAAACATCACCACATATAATATAAACTTTACTTCTTGGTGAAGTTAAATTAATGCCTTAAAACTAGAAACATTTTACGAAATTCACATGGATTCTTTGAGTTTTCTCGAAAGTTCTCTCGAATCAGACAAAAATTAGGAGAAACATTTCGTACAATGAAAGTTTAAAAGCAAATTGCTTCTCTATAGTCTTGCATTACATACTTAGTTATTCCTAATTTTGACATATACTTTAACTCCCGATGTCAACTGCATTGCTAAAACAATAAAACTGAAGTGCATTAATAATTTATTGCGATTTAAAAACACAGGTAAAAATATTTTACAATGTTCCACTTTCGTAAAATAAGTTTAGGAAACATGAAAAATTCAGTCATCAAAATAGATATATATGAAAAATTAATTTCATTTGATGCATTACATTGAAGTAAACACTTGTGAATTATATAATTATAAGCATTACAAACAATTTGCTAATCTGGCCTTTATTTATATAAACTGGATGAAATTGAAGCTTTAACGTCACGCAAACGGCTCCATGGGGCAGTGGCTTACCAATGAGTTGCAGCTCTGGCGGCCGCGAGTTCGAATCCCGCACGGCACAACTATTTGTATGGCCTACAAATAATTGTTCTTGATCTGGATGTTTGCCCTTTTGCAAATTATATTTGTAAACTGTCTGCACGATACAGGAGATAATCTTAGTGTGGGGTAACTTTTTCAAGCCTTGGTGTGTAAAGCTTATTATTATTGGATCACGATACAATTCTGCCGAATTGAGAACCTTCTCCTTTTTGAAGTCAGTTGAAAATAACCCGAAGCCCGAGTCGGTAGTGTTAGATATCGTTATTTTATCTGTCTGCTACTATAAGTGAGCGCCGCGCTTGTGCGTGTGTTGCTTGCTTCCGCGCTCTCATTCACTCTGGTTATAATATAAAATATACAATCATCAGGCAGTTAATTCCTAGCCGGTTTTTTGTTTAACATTGAAAGCACGCTATAAGTTCGCTCGATAGGCGTTGAATATGTAATAAAATGGTCTGTTTTCGAATGTAACTGACATCAAAATAGTAACACCAAATAAATGAATGTTTTTGAAAAGGAGTTAGAAATGTTAGGTTTGATTCAATCAAACATGATTAATCAATATAGTTTTAGTTCACAGCTTACATACTTATTGTTTACAATATCATACCGCTATTTACAAGAAATTAATAATGGCTATAACAGCTCCCATATTTACAAGTTAAATTTATTCTCGACATACTCATCACGCAAGTGGTGCTAAATCGCGTATAATGCTAATACTACATTCCCACGAAAAATAATTACTTTCCGCAGTTATCTACACGCAACTGCATAAAAAATACTATGTGAATCAAAACACTTATTAGCTAAAATATTTAAACTAAACTCTTCCCCTTTTCCTTTATAAACTGTCCTTTAACACATATAAATAAAAACACATGTATTGTTGTGAATAAAATAGGCATATCATAACGATGTTGAAGAATTTTACAAAGGTTGAAACAGATATTGCGAAATAATCGGCAATTTTTTTAATTTACGTTCATGCCTCTTACAAGTATATTAACAGTTTGAGTATGTTAGCTATCACAACATACTATTTAAAACGACACATCGCATGGCTTTTTATGCCGTTAGGTCGATTTTGGGAGTATTGGTAACCAGCCTTTATAATGAAAGAAATGGGTTTGAGATTTATTTAGCTAGCTAACCTGTGATCCCTGGCCTCAATTGTACATTGTTATATTGACTAACTTGGATAGTACTGCCAGTTCTGTATATTTATTCATACAATTTAATTTCTTAGCCTAAAAAGCATAATTACATTTAAGGTTAATAAGAATTATCAGGAAACTATAGCAAAAAAAAAATGCAACCCCTTAATCTTAAAATAAATTAAACTCGTCTTCGCAAATAATATGTCAGAGCGCTTCCTTAACCAAAATAACATAACATAAAGATAAAAGATTTCTTAATAATGAAAGTAACTGAAGCAAGAAAATTTTTGACTTCAAAATTACTTAAATATGTCTAGTCTTATACTGTTACATTATATTATATAACATATTTTGCTTGAAACATCACTTTACAGTTTTAAATGATAAGAAAGGCATATGAATATTGGCAGTTCATTGATTTATCTTATCTAGCATCTTATCGCACTATGAGAGGTACATTTTTAAATGGACTTTTTGGCGGCAACAGTGTATGTTGCAATATTCTTCTTATTTTTCAGCTATCATGCTATTAAAAAAGCCATTAAACGTGTCTAATTTAGTCCAATCACTGTCTATATTAACAGCTAAGTAGACACTGGCTGACCAGGGTCAATGGTGTCTGGGGTAGTGATGCCCATTGCTGTATCTGAAAGTGAAATGATTGCTATACTAATGGACATGAATATATTTAATAGAAAAATAATAATAGAATAAATAAGCTTTCTGTTACATTTGTACAGTATTATTTGTTAACTTTTTTTAATATATCAACATCTCATCAACCGTTAAATGATTGGTAAAAACTATAATCTAATTTATATGCATGTTTCGAACAAATAGAACAGTTAATACAGTCAATTGCTTGAATTGACTACTTGCCTAACTATTTATGTCGCAGTTCTCAAAGAATAATTCTTAAGGTGGGTAGATAATATAATAACCCCATTAACTCCTCTAAAATTTAGTATCTATACAATTTGGCAAGTTAGAAAGGTAGAAAAGAAGGTAACAAAAGAGGTAGAACGGCCTAAAAACTTACAATAAAAATCAATTAAATATGTGTAGGGACTTGGGGAGACTTATGTTCAGTAGTGAACTTTTGCAAGGCCTAAATTGTCATTCAATCAGATAATATTTCAATCTGGTAAAATCTCTACATATGAACACTTAATTTCAGTTCCATTCGACCTTTACCTATTATTTAACAAGTTTAGACAAAAATAGCATGTTTAGGGGGTGTGTGGAATAAATCGGTTTAAACAGCTCATGTCGCATATGATCAATGCACAGTACGACAAGTAGCAAGTTAACAACAATTAATTTGTTAACATTGCCTGGAAATAAATTTATACAACATAAATCACATTATTTATTGCATTGGAAACTTAGCCGTGCATTTCTAATGGTTTTGGCGACATATTTATTGGTAAAAAATATTACCACATAAAATAGAAAAAAGGATTAAACAAATAGATAGTTACCTGTTGAAGAGCTTATACTTGTTATAGTGATGTTTATTAAAATTATGAGACGGGCGCCGCTCGTTTCTGTACTTGAAGTTACTATTCCAGTGTGGCTTGTTTTGTTTTTCCTATAACAAACATAAAATTAGTAAGTTTTGCATTATACCAATTAATTGAAAGGGCTTTTTGTTTTATTAGATACTTAAAAAATATTAAAATTAGTATTCAACCTAAGAAATGGATGAGAAAACACTTTTATTTTAAACAGTTTCATACCTGAAATGGATTATAACCGTTCCTATTATTGTTAAAACGATTGTAGTGATGAAACTTCTTAATTTTTTTACTACGACCTCGATCCATGTCGTCTGTTGCGTCGAGAGCCCGTTTGCGTTCTTCACGCCTTTCCTCGAATACCTAAAGATATAAAATAGACAAATGTTACAAGGTCAATTATATAAAAATCGATTGTGAATTCATAGCCATCATGGTCAAAATATGAGAATGGGACTTGATTTTAATATAAGAATCAGTAAGAAGACTACTAGAACGTGTTTCTCTAATACCGTCAACATTTACAGTCTGTTGTTAAGCTAAATTGTTAATTTCGATTCTGGTAGCATTTTAGGTGTTTATTGTTTTATTATTAAAAATATGTTTTATATATTTTATAATGCACATAACCAGGTTTAGGTTTCTCAAGTCCATTTGTAAAACTAATAAATAGCTATTTTCATCTTTAAAGTATTTATTTCACATTAAACTGAAACCTTTTCTAATCCTCTTTTTACATTTGTATTTTTATTGTAGAAATCAAAGGTCATCTATAATAATATTCTGACTATATTTTTATACATTTCATCTATTATAGCAATATACTGAAACAATTATTACATACAAGCTGGTACCCTGTGTGTTGTTGTTGCAGAATAATTGTGGAAATGTTTGTAATACATTCATTGAAGTTGAATGATATATAACTTTCAAATAAATTTTTCGTACTATGTCTAAACCTTCACGCAAGTGCAAGCAATAAGTTGACAAAGTTCACAGTTCACTATGCAATTTGATGTAGAAATGTTCATCAAAATTAAAACATTATGTGACATCTGAGTTCCACGTGAAAAATAAATATTTAAACAATTACATTTTAATACACACAATGGATCAGCAGTCAGCCATCAGCCATAGCAGAGTCTATTTCTCGTGATGATGCCTCATTTAGAGGCGAAACATGTGTCGTGTTATCGACTGTGGTATGTCTTTCCTCATGTGGCAGTTTTGGGAGAGTAGATCTTGAATTAGTTGTGACGGGGTGTACGCAATTACGTGAGCGAAGGTGTTCGTCAAACTAGTTAAGACACATCATTGTTATTTTTTATGCTAATCTTAGTTAATTTTTAACATCTTTAACACAATTCACTGTTTCATTTTGTAATGACTGCTGTCCTATACAAAAATTAACTCTTATATCTTACAATAAAGTGGTAAATTAAAAAATGACTTGACTTTCAATAAGATTTACACATGTGATCAATATTGAATAAAAAATTATTCTATTCTATTCGAATGCATTTGAATGAGCATTAAAGTCTGTTATTATATAATTTGTTTCTGAATCACAATTGCCAACCAATGCATTGATTTCACTTTTCGGTTAATATTTACACAATTATAAAGTCTACCTTATAAATTTGTTATGGAAGCGTTAGCTTCTGACAAATGATACATATATGAATATCAGCTGTTTGACATAAGGATTTAGATGACCAATCAATCTTTTTCATCATTATAGCCACAAGTCCACTGCTTAAAATAAGTCTCCCCTAAGGAATGCCACAAGAATGAGCTGCTTGTTAATATTATTCATAAATAACGGAATTCAAAAATCCATTATATAATTTTTTATTTAATAAAAATTTAGTTGGTTTTTTTTTTTGGAGTTTATGGCCTGGTATTTAGACCTTTAGGCCAAGTCTTGAGTATTTTTATTCAGTTTATTATAGTTTTCCCAAATGTATAATTATCATTCATAGTTGATGTGTCACATTGTGCAGCCCTTGGGAGATTATGACGGCAACTTAGCCAGCAGACAGCTGACAGTTGGCGATGGTATCTCAAGGCGCCTATGCAGACAAACAGCTTATCTTGAGAATCCATCACCATCAGAGCACTTGTTTCACTGTTTCCACTAATAGTTCACATGCGTAGACAGTTAATACATAAAATCGCACCACTTTTACATATCAAAATCTACTTCAAACTATTATTTAAACTATAATACAGGCAGCAAACCGCCGCCGGTCAAGTTCCCGCCAAAACTCAAACTATTTAGTTCAGTTCACTTCCTGCTTGCCAGATTTAAAATGATCACTAAAAATGTATAGCTTTACTTGTGTTTAATTTTTTGGGAAGTCTGATACCTTACAAGTTAGTACAAGTTTTAAAATTGTCAGTAATGAAGCTTTTTTCAATATCAGATTTGCGTTTCCTTATTGCATTATACACAAATATGTGGTGGATATAAAATGAAGGTGTGAAAGAACTGTGGAGATTTATTTTATCATTTTGGCAACAAAATATTGAAATTTTCTGTTTGTTCATTTGTAATAAAAAACAGAGTATCTGATGTGAAAGTGGGCAAATTAATGTTAACACTATTAATATTATTAAAATGAGAGGAGGCCTGTGCCCAAAACTTGAACAAATAATATAGGCTGTAATTTTGCTTTTTTGATTACTGATACTGGCATTAGGATTTGTTTTAAAAATCTAATTATGAATCTTCTAATTTTCTTTAAAGTTATAAAACTTACCTGACGTGATAGAGTACTGTGAGTGCCATTCCAAGAAGTAACAGGAGCCCCATATCCTCGATGCGAAAGACCGTGTAAGTGTCGCGTTGTTTCAATGCTACCACCAGTGGTCTGTGATACAGCGGGGAGAGATGTCTGTGAGCTGCAGGGCTGTGGGGTTGTAGCTGGTTCACTTTGATCACTCAGTGGAGACATACTACTCACACTAGTGTTTGGACTCTCTTCATTCTCGCCTTGGGGCTCTTCTTTCGCTTTTACTCTATAAAATACAAAATATTAGTATTTTACCTAAATTAGTTAAAGGGTAACACAGCAATAATGTTTAGTAATTTAGATATACAATTTATAAGAACTTACTTTTTATTTGTTACTCCATTCAAACTTGGACTTAACAAGGGACCACTTTTTTCTTTTGAAACAGTCCAGTTATGAAGTGTTCCTTTAGTTGTAACAACAAGGCCTTGAGGTGAATCACATCGGCTAGGTTTTGGCCTCAGGCTCCCATCCCCTTTACCTTCTCTCCTAACCTTTTCATCGCTTAATCTCTCAATTCGTTCATCACTACTGGACTCAGAATCATAAGGTACCAATTTAGAATTAGAATTACCATTTCTATTTAGATGATTGGATGCATCACTCTTGTTCATTTGTTCCTCTAATTTCTCTAATGGAGACTTTGGAGGTTTCACAAGTTTACTTGTCGAGGCTGACTTTTCAGGTACTTTTAAATTATGTGTTATTGAACGGAGATCTGAATCACTCTTAGAAAGCTTAGGCTTTAATGGATAATCTTCTAAGCCTTGCTTTTTAATTATAAAACTGATTTTTTTGTCATCATCAACTTTGTAACCAATTTTCTCAATGCCATTTAAGATTTTTGGTACATTTGTGACTTTTTCCACCTCACCATTCTGCTTTACAACCCAAGGTTCACTATTAGAGTTTGTTTCTGAAGATTTACATAAAGTTGTGTTTAAAATTATAGGCTTTACTTCAGGCTTAGTAATTTCTGTTGAAGTGCTATTGAGAATTGTTGGTTTTCTGTCTTCATTTTTGTAGAATGTTATTTTAAGGGGACTCTTTTCCCTATTTACTATATTATCAGGTAGTTGAGGACCATAGACTACACTAGAGGTAGATGCGATGGGCTGGCTGTTAATGTCATCAGAAGAATTGTCTTTTTCAAAGAACATTATATATGCATTTGTGCCAAGCACAGCAGAAAGGGGGAGCGGACGCACGCAGCTATCGTCAAATTGATAATAATTACTATTTGAAGATTGTCCTATAGCTGTGTAGTGTCCACAGTTCTGTGACGGTCCTAGATGAGTTACTAAACTCACCAACTTATATGACTGAAAACAAATAAACAAAAGTTATTAAGTGACTTAATATGTACTTTTATCATTTTTGTTATATTAGTCTAAAAGAATACAGTACCCAACAGTAAATATTACACATAGAACTTTACAAGATACAATCAGCCAGCTTTGGCTTTTATAGAGCTTCATCTCTGTTGCATAAAGCCGGTATTTATTGAGCTGTTAAAACAAAAAAAAAACATATTTACATATTATTTAAATTCTAATTTAATATTAGATGCTACAGTTAAAGTTTAAATTGGAATTTTATAACTCTTTATATATATTACAAGTGGATACAAACACATTCTAGCAATCTTGTACAATGACTGACAAGTCAATGACAAAACATCACACAGGTATGAGTGACAGAGACAATGCTTTAAGAATTCATTGTATCTCTTTCTAAAGCTCAATGTAATATTTACTGCCAGATATTGTTCTATATTTTATGTAAGAAAGATGGCCTAAGCGTGTAATTACGCTTTATTACTCACCAATTGTTGTGGGTTATTTTTGTTGTAAAGATATTTATTTAAAGTAATTTTTTTGCGAAATTGCACATGCTTTGACAATTTGCCTCCTGCCAATGAAAATCTCTTCAGTGCAATGCAGAGGACCATTGGTGCTCGTTCAATAAAAAACTGTTTTGTTGCCGACACCTGAAATTATAAAAATAATATTTTCAATATTTAAATTGGCATATAAATATTGATTTTAAGACCAGAATATGACCTACTTTTTAAATTAGGATTTATGGCAAAATGCATTACTAACCTTCTTATTACAAGCTTCACACTTATATCCTAAGTCTTCCAATCTTTCACGAGAAAAAAATGAGTCTAATGCTTCATCCAAAGTAGAATGTTTTCTTATATCTAATAGTAAATCCTGCAACACAAGTGTTTTAGTCATTACCTTGTTTATTGATTATGATTATTTATGGTATAATCATCATCATGTTTAAATATTTAATATTTATATGGTATATGAATACCTGGAAATGTTGATAAGTAGTAGACAGGTGATGGCAGGCTAAGCATCTAACCGTTGATCGTAGATAGCCGCCCAAAATTTGATTTAAAGGTGTTGTTTCTTTGCTATATTGATCTAATTTGTCAGAATTTATAAATCGTGATAGATAACATTTCTCCATTGCTTCCACCAGGTATCTGCAAAAATAAAATCTGGCTTTTAACTTTATATGGAATATTAAGTTGGCTAAGTCTTTATGCCATAAGTGTCTATTGCAATGATTTAATGTATGCACAATTTTTATCTGTTATTTCTAGCCCACAATCTGGAAGAGAATGGACACCATGTTTCCAAAAGTTCCTCGTTTTGATATCCACAGTCACAAGAATTTTTTCACAAACTTTACTGCCTAGGAATCTGTCTGGGTAGGTACAACTCTCTTACCAATTTTTGGTGCCAATTAACAGTGCTTGTATTGCTGTATTTCGGTCTCAAGAGTATTGAGAGCTAGTATAATACAGGATCTGAGGCATTCCATTTTATATGCGATAATGCTACTGTAGCCTTATTCTTTTGAAGTTGGCAGCAGGTGTCCATGGACTACAGTAGTCAGTTATCATTAGGTACTCTTTAATTTCTTACTCATTTTAAATAAAAAAAGTTAATATCTATCATAATCTAGTTAAAAAATTTGAAAAGTAATAGTCCCTTGCAGAGAAGTCTGATATCAAGAAGAACATGTCATTCAAAACTTTTAAAAACCTTGTTTTTTTTTTATAGAATAAGGGTGACAAACGAGCACACAATCCATCTGATAGTAAGTAGTTGCTGTGACCCATAGACATCTACATCTATCTTCGTTTGCGAATTAAAATGCAGATGCGTTGTCAGCCATGTGGAATAAGATAGAATGCCTCTTTTCCAGTAAAATGGGTCTCTGGTTCTCGACACTCACCATACAAAACACAGCAGCATGAAGCTGCTATTTTACGCTGGTATTCTGTGAGTGTGGTCCTTTGCCGGTCGGGCGGACCCATTCGTGCTACAACTATACTATTAATATAGCTGCAGCATGGCTCTATGCTCGTGGTTTCTGTCAACATATAGCAATATTATTTTTATGAACTTGAGTGTTTACTATCTGATTTTTATAGCTAGTCATTGTAATGAACATGTGAAGTGTGTAAGTGGCTGCAATAATCATAGTGCTATCAGGAAACTGTCACAAATATCAAATATCATGCACATTCCACCCAACACTGAATTACAAACAAGAAAACTATAACAAATCATTTTTCACACTGCTTGTAGCTATTGCTGTGCATTAACTTTAGTCATTTTCTGGTGTGGTTCACATATTTTATAAACATGATGTTTTCTCAATAAAAGTTGTTCACAAAATCTAGCCGTGCATTGACACGTATAATGTGATCCATAATACAAAACTACATTGATTTTTCATAGAAGCTAAAACCTTCTTGATGAACATGTTTTAAACCAAAGAAGTATACTTAATACTTCTTTGCTGGTAATATAGCACCAACTCATTTCACTAGCAATGAATTAGAAAAGTTAGCTTTTATTTTGAAATAAATAAGACATAGTTATACCTTAAAAACTCATGTGCATCTTCCTGACGTCCTGGTGTTAAATGTCTACAGATCAATCGCAGTTTTGAATAAACCTGCCAAGGTTTAATTGCTATTCCACCACACTTTTGGGTGGCCATCAATGTTGCCCTCATGCCACAAATCACACATGCTTCTGAAAGATTCAAGAGTTCTGAGCATTACATTTCAATAAGTAACATATAAATTTAAAAAACACCAAAAATGTATAACAACAAATGAATATATTTGACATACTTCAAACTTTATTTTCGAACAACACAAGAACATAACAAAAGAGTTAATAATATTCAACATTCCAGCTCCCAAGGGAAAATTAACCATAATTAACATAAAATGATACCTATATCTCATTATTATTAATCATATAAATGTAATTAACTTAATAAAATGTTAGTTGTGTATAATATACTGAATAATAATGAGAAAAGAGAGAAAACTTAAATAATATCTTCATATAAAATCAACTTTCTTCTTGAATAGGTAATTTAATTATAAATGAATTAATGCAACATAAATCAATGAGTTAACCATAAACATATGCTTATTCAGAGTAATTGTATATTGATTTGTGCAACAATCAAAGAAAAAATAATAAAAATTCTTACCTTGTTGATTACATTTTTCTGCATGAGCTCCTTCCGATACAAGCCAGTTAGCAAAAGCAGGTACATGAAAAAGAGCTTGCAGTGTAGAGTTGAGGTAACATGTGTTGCCTACATTTTGCATGCCTGCTCCAGAATTCCATGACCCTTGCCATCCCAAATGTACTTTTTCCAATGGAAATAAAACTCGTTTTGGCTTTGGTAAGCCTTCCTCACGATTTTTGTTGTCTAGAATTACATAGTCATAAATAACTGTTTATTATCAAGTAAATATTGACATGATATAGAAAATATAACCTCTGTCGACATAACACACATGTAGTTATAAGCATCATAATTTGAATACTACTGTTATTGAAGAAAAATATTTACCTGTCGATTGATTTCCTGTAACAGCATCCTTTTTTAAAAGTTTATTCTCAAGGACTGGTTTCTTGGGCCGAATAACCACGTACTTCGATTTTAAGCCATCTAGTACATTGCTCTGATAATCACCGGATTCTTCAAATTCTATCTTTGACAAAAGCACACTTTTAGCTGATGAATATAATCTACTATCCAATAAGGATGAACTCTGGGAGTCTTCTGTACCAAGAGATAAACGCAATGCGCTAGATACTGGGTCACAAATGGAAGCGGGCATTTTACCTCCAAAATTGCACTATCACGTCAGTAAGATTTAGCAAATATCACAGCCACATATTAATTTTTATAGCAATTCCTAGCCTCTACTCGAATCGGACAGAAAGATAACTTTGTATTTTTATCAACCATGTGTACGTATCACAAACTGATGAGCTCGATATGAGAAAAGGAAAACGCATCCACGATACGCGAAAGCGATAGGTTCTTTTTTTCCATAGACTTTGTTGTTGTTGCTACAATTTGCCAGTTAAGAGAGGCAAAGTTCTTAGACCAAACAGCCTATTCGATTGTACCTCAAGATACCAGTGACACAAACAACAAAATAAGCGAGTAAAGAAAATTTGAATTTTTTTATTTAAATCAAAGACCTTATAACACTGTTTAAACTTATAGTTCACAGACGCAGGCATTTAATATGTACATAAAAACGCAACATTTTTATGTATCAAAATCCACTTCAAATCATTATTTAAATGACACAATAATACAAAAACATAAATAGCAATCGGACGGCGGTCAACTTCCCCAAACCCCTAAAACTAACAACTAAATAGAATATAATGCAATTTCTACATTTTTTGCTATACATCAATTTGGAGCTAGGATCATGGAAGTATCTGTCAACATATCAACTTGATAATGGCAAGTATAGCAAGCAATAGCGTTTTTCTTTCATACAGAACTGTTTATCATTTTTTGCGGGGGCAATCTGCGCACGTAAAAGCAATCGTCTGTCACTACGAAACTCACACATAACAATTAAAATAATAAAGTAACCATTTCACATGCCATTTCACACACACATTGATACATTGTGACAGAATTGCTCGGTGACGGCGACAACTCGGATACAGACTCTAAAAGCGACTAGCTCGACCGATCTTTTATATGAAAACAAGCGGCCTGCCTGCGACACAGCCATTATAATTGTAATTTTTAGTTTAAAGATAATATATATATATATATATATATATATATATAATAGCAATAATGTGATTAAAATTTACTTATATGTATATGAAAGGTAACGCTATCATTTTGCAAATTTGAAGTGACGCAAAAAACCATCTTTTTGCAACAAAAAACTAAACGATTCGTCATTTTTAGGACGTTGATTCAGTCGCGCAAATAGATTTGGTTTAATGAGCAGTGCAGCTACAACTAGTTTTGTTGTACGCATAGGACAACGTGGTCTTATACTTTGACAGAGGGGAACGCCTGTCAATGGCTACTCCCCTCCGGTCCGCCAATGGCCCGTGTTGCGCAATGATAGCTAGTGATGAAATTTCATTGTGAACTCGATTGAATCACATATTACGAGGGTAATACTGAAAGTTCTTAGATAATTAAAAACTTAACAAACTAGCAAATTATTAGTTTTATTATATCTTTTCAAAATTGTGTCCATTTATATCAATACATCGCTGCATCCAATGGAACCGCTGATAAAAGCACTTTGCCCACTCGTCCTTAGGGGTTTCTTCGACGGCATTTTGAAACGCAGTCACTGCTTCCTCGGCGTCCATAAAACGTTTTCCTCAAAGTTTTTCTTTTATTTTCGGAAATAAATAAAAATCGCAATGTGCGAGGTTGGGGCTATAGGGCGGGTGACCCAGTAATTCCACGTCTTACGTCGCCAAGTAGTCGATTGATTGCTTAGCGGTGTGCGTTGTCGTGGTGAAGGAGGATCCTACTGCGAGGTCGTTTCTCTCGAACTTTTTCCAAGACAAGTGGCAAAAAGTTGTTAGTATACCAATCTGCAGTAACTGTATTTCGATCCTCTATAAAAATTGTTGCGTAATGACCTGTCCTTCCGAAGAACGAGGCCACCATAATTTTTCCCAGGCTTCGACCTCTCTTCACTTTAGTTGGCAGCTCCTCGGAAGGAAACACCCAGACAGCAGACTGTCTTTTAGTTTCAGGATCATAACAATAAATCCAGCTTTCGTCACTTGTAGGTATGTTGAACACAGCATTTGAGTCACCTCCGTTAAATCTTTGAACCATGTCACAATACCAATCAACACGAGTAAGTTTTTGGGCCTCTGTCAAATTATGAGGCATCCACCGGGCACAAAGCCACCTGACCGCTAAATGTTCATGGAGGATTTTGTTTTGCGCACTTGACTCATACCCATGCCTAAGCCTGTCCGAATCTGCTGATAAGTCACTCTTTTGTCAGTCTCTACCATACGCCTCACAACGGTGATGTTATCTTCAGTCGTCGCCGTAGAAGACCGTCCCTCACGCAGATCATTGGTGAGATTAGTGCGACGTTTAAACTCACGTTTAAACTCATTCAACCAACTGTAAACAGTGGCACGAGATGGGGATTTATCGTGAAAGGCCAATCAAAGTCTATCATAACTTTCTTGTTGACTTAAATGACATCGAAAGTCATAAAAAAATCATTGTATGAAAATTTTCTTGCGTTGAATTCATGCTGACGTGACACAGACAATTTTCAATTTGCCGCCAAATTATAAACAAATGACAAATTAATAAAATACTTAGACAATAATATTGGCAAAGAGTTCTATTTTCAAAATTTGAACCTATTTTTTTATTATATCGCTTACAAGTGGCCAGTTCTAAAAACTTTCAGTGCTGCCTTCGCATATTACTAATTATTAAAAATTATACATAATATATTCTGTAATTACGGACCTTCACAATTCCCAACAAGTCCACTGCTGAACTTAAGAATCCGCCACCAAATGCTACAACATACAAGTCTTCTATCACTCATGTTCATTGAAATATAAAATTAAAATACTAGCAAAAAGCGGTGCTTGAGGAGGGCTTGCGAAGTTTTTTACCTAGTAATTTTGAAGGCAGTTTTTTTAAGAGAATTTATTAACATATTTAACATTTTTCTTTTAATGTATGGATTATTAACATGGACTTCAGTAAATAATTCATACGACAAATCATGGATGTGTATCATAAGTTTGGGAAGGATCTAGGTACCACGTAGATATCAATTGATCGAAATAGTTTATGATTTCTTAAATTCTTGCAATATCGTCTGGATTGAGATTCTTAAGATCCGGAGCATAGGAGTTTGATAAACCAGAAAATACCGTGCATATAAGGACTACCTCGGTACTGAAATTGAATACGGTACCAAAAATTCTTGACTTTAACGAATTTTTTAACAAAACGCTCCTTAATTTTTTTTATCGCTAATGAAAAAAGTAAGGAACTATCTTAGGATTTGAATTTAATAATTTAGATTTAGGAATAAATTCACTGTTTTGATTAAAATTAGCATAATTATAATCAGAATCTAATATACGATACAGCTCTGGCCAATATAAGTCAGCTGCACTTCCTAATTCTTCAATCAAGCATACCAACATGAGCTATATAACCTCAAATTAGGATTATATTATAAAATTGATTTATACAATAATGGATTTCATAAACTCACTTTGCCACATCATCAATATCTTACTCCAATACGTCGATGTCAGTGATATTATTATATACCCAATTAATTATATACTACCCACACTTAGGCAAAAGCATTTTACAGAATTGATGACATTCGGCAAGTTGTTATTCATCAGCAAGAACAGCGTAGGATGTAAATTACTTCTTTGACTGACTCCATGAGTATCCACACGAACGAACTGAATATAGTTTCCCAAATAATTCGAAACGAAATTTAAAAGTTTAAGAGTAAATCATACCTTACCCGAATTCTGAAGAAAAATGTCGTGTATACATCAACGTTTTCTTAAAATATAAATAAGTCGCATCAACTTGTCGTTCTTAGTAAATTTCGGCAGCATTGTAATAAACAAAATGTATGCTGGTGGTGGTGGTCGACCTTTACAAAACACAAGCTTTTAGTCATTCAGGACAACGTGTTCTACTAAACTGTTCACTTATGACGAGATTCAAAGTTTTCTTCAAAGACGGAGTGAAACGTTATGGGCTCGACTAAAGTGGACCCGATTAGACATGAATCGCTATGGTTGGCATTGACAAGACAGGATTTGATAATTTAATATTAATCTTGATTAATAGTAGCTGTAGTAGTCAATTTTAGGTACTGCTACTTTATTTTATTAACAATTAATTAAGACCCTGCTGTGTAGTGGCGGTGTAAGAATATCTACTATTCCATATCGCCCCGTCGTAAAAGCCGACAGAGGGAAATGAAAGAGGTGATGGAAAGCAGCATCTTCCTGATAACAACCCATAATAATAAAAAAACTGCGGTTTTCCTGATAACAAACCATTAGCCGCTTGCCAAATTATGCAGCTACGGCAAATATCACTTACAATATGAAATAATCTATGAGGGAGGCCTATGTTGACCAGTCGACTTTAGGTAGGCTCTGATTGTAGTAATTAAGATAGGTTAAACAATATGTCTAAATGTTTTTTGCTTATTTCGTGGTGATTTCTCGAAGCATCGTCGCGCTCTATTCACGAACTAAGTGTAGAGCGGGCATAAGCTGCGCCATCTACAGGTTACTTCATGCCAGCTTGTAAATCCATAAAGAAAAGAGATATGACATTTGTCAAAGTCAGCAAAAAATTACTAACCTGCTCTTTGAGCAGTTTGGGTTGAGTTTGAGATTTCGTAAAATAAATGAAATATTAATTGGATCATAGCAAAAAATTGTTAATGATTTAACTTCGATTAAGTTTTGCAATTTATATGGTATAATTGTTTTTACCAGCTTATTTTTAAGACTAGTAAATTACTTTCTTGATAGCGCCGGTGAAACTGATCATGGCGAATCCGTCATCAGGCGTTGGTAAGATTTTAACATTTTTTTTCGTATTTCGCATAAACTCTGGTTGTCTACGTTGTTTGAAGAGCGTTCATTTGACTGGTTAATAATGGATAAAAATTACTTATATACTTTTTTCTCGTATTTTTAACAGTCGTTCCACGAAATTTTCGTCTTCTAGAAGAACTTGAGCAAGGTCAGAAGGGAGTGGGAGATGGGACTATTTCTTGGGGTCTTGAGAGTGATG